CTAGTACGACTACGACTAGCACGACTAGCACGACTACTACGTCGACGACTACGACTAGCACGACTACTACGTCGACGACTACGACTAGCACGACTACTACGTCGACGACTACGACTAGCACGACTACGACTAGTACGACTACTACTAGCACGACTACTACGTCGACGACTACGACTAGTACGACTACTACATCAACGACTACGTCTACGACTAGTATGACTACGACTAGCACGACTACGACCAGCACGACTACTACGTCGACGACTACGACTAGCACGACTACGACTAGTACGACTACTACGTCAACGACCACGACTAGCACGACTACGACTAGTACGACTACTGCGTTGACGACTACGACTAGCACGACTACGACTAGCACGACTACGACTAGTACGACTACTACATCAACGACTACGTCTACGACTAGTACGACTACGACTAGCACGACTACTACGTCGACGACTACGACTAGCACGACTACGACTAGTACGACTACTACATCAACGACTACGTCTACGACTAGTACGACTACGACTAGCACGACTACTACGTCGACGACTACGACTAGCACGACTACGACTAGTACGACTACGACGTCAACGACCACGACTAGCACGACTACGACTAGTACGACTACTACGTCGACGACTACGACTAGCACGACTACGACTAGTACGACTACTACGTCAACGACCACGACTAGCACGACTACGACTACTACGTCGACGACTACTACGTCGACGACTACGACTAGCACGACTACGACTAGTACGACTACTACATCAACGACTACGTCTACGACTAGTACGACTACGACTAGCATGACTAGTACGACTACGACTACCACGAGTACTACGTCGACGACCATGACTAGTACGACAACTACATCAACAACTACGTCTACGACTAGCACAAGTACTACGTCGACGACCACGACTAGTACGACAACTACATCAACGACTACGTCTACGACTAGCACGACTACTACGTCGACGACCACGACTAGTACGACAACTACATCAACGACTACGTCTACGACTAGCACGACTACTACGTCGACGACCACGACTAGTACGACTACGACTAGCACGACAACGACTAGTACGACTACTACTACAACGACTACGACTAGTACGACTACGACTAGCACGACTAGCACGACTACTACGTCGACGACTACGACTAGCACGACTACGACTAGTACGACTACTACATCAACGACTACGTCTATGACTAGCACGACTACTACGTCGACGACTACGACTAGTACGACTACTACATCAACGACTACGTCTACGACTAGCACGACTACGACTAGCACGACTACTACGTCGACGACCACGACTAGCACGACTACGACTAGCACGACTACTACATCAACGACTACGTCTACGACTAGTACGACTACGACTAGCACGACTACGACTAGCACGACTACGACTAGCACGACTACTACGTCGACGACTACGACTAGCACGACTACGACTAGTACGACTACTACGTCAACGACCACGACTAGCACGACTACGACTAGTACGACTACTACGTCGACGACTACGACTAGCACGACTACGACTAGTACGACTACTACGTCAACGACTACGACTAGCACGACTACGACTAGTACGACTACTACATCAACGACTACGTCTACGACTAGTACGACTACGACTAGCACGACTACGACTAGCACGACTACGACTAGTACGACTACTACATCAACGACTACGTCTACGACTAGTACGACTACGACTAGCACGACTACGACTAGCACGACTACGACTAGCACGACTACTACGTCGACGACTACGACTAGCACGACTACGACTAGCACGACTACTACGTCGACGACTACGACTAGCACGACTACGACTAGTACGACGACTACGTCTACGACTAGTACGACTACGACTACCACGACTACTACGTCGACGACTACGACTAGCACGACTACTACGTCGACGACTACGACTAGTACGACTACTACATCAACGACTACGTCTACGACTAGTACGACTACGACTAGTACGACTACGACTAGTACGACTACTACATCAACGACTACGTCTACGACTAGTACGACTACGACTAGTACGACTACGACTAGTACGACTACTACGTCGACGACTATGACTAGCACGACTACGACTAGTACGACTACTACATCAACGACTACGTCTACGACTAGTACGACTACGACTAGCACGACTACGACTAGCACGACTACGACTAGTACGACTACTACATCAGCGACTACGTCTACGACTAGTACGACTACTACGTCGACGACTACGACTAGCACGACTACGACTAGTACGACTACTACGTCAACGACCACGACTAGCACGACTACGACTAGTACGACTACTACGTCGACGACTACGACTAGCACGACTACGACTAGTACGACTACTACTAGCACGACTACTACGTCGACGACTACGACTAGTACGACTACTACTTCGACGACTACGTCTACGACTAGTACGACTACGACTAGCACGACTACGACTAGCACGACTACTACGTCGACGACTACGACTAGCACGACTACGACTAGCACGACTACGACTACGATCGACGACTACGACTAGTACGACTACTACATCAACGACTACGTCTACGACTAGCACGACTAGTACGACTACTACATCAACGACTACGTCTGCGACTAGCACGACTACGACTAGCACGACTACGACTAGTACGACTACTACATCAACGACTACGTCTACGACTAGCACGACTACTACGTCGACGACCACGACTAGCACGACTACTACGTCGACGACCACGACTAGCACGACCACGACTAGCACGACTACGACTAGCACGACTACTACGTCGACGACCACGACTAGCACGACTACCACTAGTACGACTACTCCATCAACGACTACGTCTACGACTAGCACGACTACGACTAGTACGACTACTACATCAACGACTAGTACATCAACGACTACGTCTACGACTAGTACGACTACGACTAGTACGACTACTCCATCAACGACTACGTCTACGACTAGCACGACTACGACTAGTACGACTACTACATCAACGACTAGCACGACTAGTACGACTAGTACATCAACGACTACGTCTACGACTAGCATGACTACGACTAGTACGACTACTACGTCGACGACCACGACTAGCACGAGTACGACTAGTACGACTACCACATCAACGACTACGTCTACGACTAGCACGACTACGACTAGTACGACTACTCCATCAACGACTACGTCTACGACTAGCACGACTAGTACGACTAGCACGACTAGTACGACTAGCACGACTAGTACGACCAGCACGACTATCACAACCACGACTAGTACGACTAGTACGACTACGACTAATACGAGTACGACTACTACATCAACGACTAGCACGACTACGACTAACACGACTAGTACGACTACGACTAGCACCACTACGACTAGCACGACTACGACTACATCGACGACGACTAGCCCCACGATAACTCATAGGTCTACGACTACTATGTCTACAACAGTTGATGACTGCAAAGAGGCTGACGAGTTCTGTGCTTCGATGTCTCCGGGGACTTTCTGTGTAACTTATAAGCTACCTAATGTCTGTCATGGAACTGATGTCCCCTGTAGTTGCAGCAAACAGCCGACTACTATGGCAACCACTTCGAGGACTACCTCGCCCACTACTACTATTACTCCGACTACTATCAGCACCACCGTAACCACCACTCAAATTTCTACTACTTTCACCACAACTACTACGACAAGTGGTATCATCACCACCCGGGCGACGACCTCGACAACTACTACCACTTCCACTAGTCGGCCCACCACTACAACAACAACTGTAACCATCACGTCTACTACGTCATCGACAACGGTTACTATGACTACAAAACCGACTACCATTCCGACTACGACAATTCCTTCGACAACGTCAGTTGCTTCTTCCACCGTAGTCGATGATTGCAAGGAAGCTGACGAGTTCTGTGCTTCGATATCTCCAGGCTCTTTCTGCATGACTTACAAGCTTCCTAATGTCTGTCATGGAACTGATGTCCTCTGTAGTTGCAACAAGCAGCCAACCACAACAACTGATGGTACTACTACAGTTGTGACCACTTCTACTCCGAACACGACCACGGTCGTAACGTCAACCACAATAGCTACTCAGATCAGCACTGCTGCTGATACCACCACAACAATATCCCCGAGCACCACATCTGAGACTAGTACCACCACAAGAGTAACGTCTTCTTCGCCATCAACAACTACATCCAGCGTTCTAGATTGTGCCGATGCTGATGCCTACTGTGTGTCTATTATCCCCGGGTCCTATTGCAAGTACTGGAGCACGCCTAGTTTTTGTCAAAGCGACCGGCGTCTAAGCGGAAGCAGTGGATCACGTCATCTCTGGGACAATATTAGATGTGACTGTGTCGACTCAGTTGTCAGTGCTGTGAATGCGGATTAGTCACATTAGAATGGCGTGCCTCTTCCCTCGGCTATTCCTTTTTTTCGGTAGAAGCTGAAGACCATTAATTTGGTATTTCGCAGTCCATTTGTTACTTTCAATGTCAAGTACGAATCGGTTGTGTTGATGACATGGGATATAACATGACGTGCCAATATTCGCGTGTTGAATTGAGGATTCTTTTCGGTTTTCTGATTCTCGCCTCAAGACCCTTGACGTTATTTCAAGTGATTTCCTTTTCACGTTTTCTTTCCGATATACTGGCACATGTTCCACGTCTATTCAGCTGCAACTGCAAGTTTCTAAGTTCCGACTAACTCAGTGGTGATGGGATCCTGTTGACTAACGCAAACTAATTTCAATCCCTATGGGGGGACAGTAGATACATAGTTTACAACGGAGAAAACAACATCCAATACGAGCAGTAACAGTGAGGTTGGTTCGTCGTCGATAGATTCCCTCAACAGGGGATGAACCACAACCATCTGTAGAATTGATTGTTTCTAGTCATCACGAGACTATCATCATAGAGCTATGATAGCAGCAGCAGCAGGTGTTCTGTCCATCGTCAGTATTGTCTCTTCCCGATCAGCAAGTTGCATCGTGTCCAATATATGATTTTCTGTCGATGAAGTATTATCATCATCATCGTTATTGTTGGCATTGTGAGGAAGGCTCGTGACAGTATTGGCATCATCCTCAACACTATTAGCTGCAACGAGAAGCGGCCGCCCATCATCAGCCCTAGCATTTGAAGTCGCATGATGGAGGGCATCAGGTCGGATCATACGACCTAATAGAACATTGGTAATTATAATGTAGATTACTACTACCACCACCATCTCATCATTATCATCTTACCCAAGTACTCTGCCTTCTCCACTGCCTCTTCCTCTTCGTGATCTGGAGTGGCAGTAACAGCGTCGGACTTCGACCACTTCTGACTCATCTCAGCTCTACCAAAGGGCCATCTTCCAAATAACCATAAATTATGTTAGTACAGCATTGTAAATTCTTCGCGGCAAATGTAGCATGTTTTCCCTGCAAGTACTAAGTCCTTGGCACAGCCTTGGCAGAGTCCACCGTGTCCACACGGTAACAGTATCTGATTAATACTAAGCACTCACGGGTACAGAAATGGCCTTACAATAGTCGCGGGATCCTCCATACAGATTTTGCAAGTACCGTCATCATCATCAATGGCCAAGTCGGAGAGCTCCAATGATCCACGAGGTGCATGAGTCTGAATAGAATGAGTCGGTCCTAACTTAGATGAATATACTTCCTACAGTCTGAACAGCCTGACCACTGCTATTCACTTTGAAGAACGTCGACGTGACTCTGAAATGATGATGGAGCTCGTTAAATGGCAACCGTGATAGGAACTCATATAACCTCTTAATCTCGAAAGTTTGTGATTTGGCACGTTCCATAGCTTTGAGACGATCCTGAGACCGAACTGCATCGCCAGCGGTCCTTGGAGGTTCCTGAAAGGGAGTCGATGTTGCTATTCATGAAAACCCTCAGTATTACCTCCAATCTCTCAGAAGCATACGGATCGTACAGAGTCGAATCAATATCCTCTCCCATAGAAGCTGTCGACATATTACGGAAATCAGTCTGGCGTCGATCGCGGTGACCCGCGTCCAGATGTGGGAATGCTCTTGCCACGCAATCACGACAAACGAAGTACTGTGCATTAGGCATCAGTTCAGGTGGCACTCGTCTGGTAAATAACAACATTTCGTAACGATACTTGTATTGCTCATTATTACCGGCTTCTGCCACAGACTTGACAGTTGACTCGATCCGTACTGGTGGAGCACATACTCGATGATACTCCTTTGAACCAGTGGACCAGTATACTCCAAATATTACTGCACGACGTTATGGTGCTGTTATAATATATAATAGAGAGAGAAGAACGTATTATATATACTATCACCAAGATTATTACTCTCGCCCAAACACTGACCATTGTCGCCCGTTTATTCTAATCAGAAAACGTATCAGACAGTCATCCCGTATTAGCGACTTCCCGAGTGGTTGAGAGATGTCCATTTTATTATAGATGTTGAGGGCTGTGTTACTGTCCCGACAACCACTGGTAACACCTCCTAGCGGTGGAGAGTGCTTGCATTGAGTGAACACCTTTCGACAGGGGCGCGATGATTGGGTACAGTTGAAAAAGTGTTCAAAGACGCTCCGAGCTTCACTAGATGGGAAAGATCCTTGATCGACATGCCAACGCTCGTAAGAGGAGTCGGTGTAGCTACACACCCGGGTTCGACACCAACCAATATTACTTTTCGACGATTCTGATATTTATCGGGCGAACGTCGATACGCATGTCCATGCGTGCAGCAGCAGCAGCAGGCGCTGCTACCTAAGTACTGCGCAAGGGCTTGGCATTCAACGAATCATTGCATGTTACGTTTAGAATCTTCTCAAGTAAATGAGTTGTTGAGGTGGGTGGGATATACTGGCTGGTCCAAAATCTCTCGCATTGAGATAAATTGGGAACCTCAGTAGTGAGCTATTCAGAGGACTGATCAGGCAGAGGACTGAGTTGCGTGCATCTTTAGAACAAGTTCGAGGAGGGTACGATAGCTCACTGTATTACACCTGAAGTAGATTGCGGTTACCAACGATCCGGGGAATAATGTTCGCTTTCGTCGTATTCGTAGTTAACTCGGGATCACACAAGGGACAGTGTCAACCCAGTCACTGCTGTGTACATGCTAGCTTAGCCACTGCTCATCATTAGGATTGGTTTGGTTGTATGATTTTTACTGAGTGCCTGTTTTTTTCAGTGTTATTAAACGAGTTAACAATGTTCTTCATCTTGAGTATCGCTGCCTTCCTCACCAGTATAGCTGCTGGTCTGGTGATGGTCCTCAGTGTGGTTATCCCTATCGTAGCCATTGGAGTCCTTAGAAACGTTGCTGGCAACTTACACGAGATCTTCCTGTCCAACACCTTCGACCTCAACGATCTATTGGCTAAGCTTGGTCTATTGATCGAAAGGGTCCCTAGTCGAGTGACTATTGATAGGTTCTCCCAGAAACCTCTGGTTAGAGTGATGCAGTAAACAGGTCTACTTCACCATTCGTAATGATTTGTACTTGATCTCCTGTACTATGGTTTTAGGGGTTTCCCTAATGAGCACGTTCAGATGACAACGTAATATATGAGTTGTTATAAATGTACTATGAGATGTCATATCGCATATATTATGCTTAGTGGCCTCTTGCTACCGTGGTAGTGCTGCTACTATTCGTTATGTTTCGCGATGTAGTCTCAATATAATCATTCGAGCCTTTCATTATTTGATCTATTATTATGTCCTAATAATTCTGTCGTTGCTGCTACCAATATTGGAACACACATTGTTCCACAGTAAGTATAAATATGCTACTGTAAGCTGCTGTAACGAGTTACCGTCATTAACTGCTGCGATCATAATGTTCGAAGTCTACGTGTGTTATTAAAGGCCGTCTATGATCATCACAACAGCAAGTTTATCAAGAATTTCATTTGGTTTTGGGTTGCAAAGTATTAGTGGATATGTAGTGTAAAAGGGAAAAGTCAAACCTTTAGTCAATTAAATCTAATATGTTTGCCCTTCCTAAGAGGTTGTCATAACATCGTTTGCGAACCCGAGAGGTTTGTTACTCTACTAGGATTGATTTTATGTTTCTCAATTGTGCAACGATAAATATCTATGATTCATGGAAGTTGGCAGCAGTCTTTTGAGAAATTCTATTTACTCAGAATGATGTGGGTTGTGGTGTATAATAACAGGATTCATCTTTATATATGTAGCAAAGAGTTGACTTTACTTCGGGTAACTCAACAATAGGTGGCTTCTACGAAATCACTAAGAATCATTTATATTTGAGAACTTGAGAAACTACGCTATGAGTTATCCAATAACAAAAAGAAATATAGACTCGGAGGAAAGAGAACACCATTAGCAATCGCAGGACTGCGGCTCAGGCGGTGGAATAAAAGGGCAGTCGGGAATCGGAACATCAAGCAAGAGTTGTAATACTTCGTCGTTAGTCAACTCCCTTCTCAATCTTCTACTTGCATTTGCTATTATATTCTCACGAACGACTGCCATCTTAGGGATCTCTTTGTCGTAACATGTGGGCTCGAATGCAATATGCTCATCTCGAGGGGCTACTTTCCACCAACGATCAAGGTTTATAGGGCAATGGATAGTAGTATTGTAACTATCGATGCATCCAAGTCCCGACCACATCGGACCCAAACCAAAATGATCCACCCAAGAACAGAACTGACAACGACCATCCATGTAAGGTACTTCTCCAACACCCCAACCACCATTCCTGGCAAGGGTCAGGAAGTCACAATCATCAGGACTATCAGCACAGTAATCTTCATAACTCTGGGATGTTGGTGATAATCCATCATGATACGGCCTTGGTATGGGATACCCACTACGAGCTAGGCTCATACCTCTATTGATAACATCAATAACGCCCTCACGTATAACTTCACCAAATATATTCCGTAGTTTACGAGAGTAGTAAACAGAATTAAGATGGGGAGACCCAACTTGCATCTGCACTGCTTGATACGAGACTTGATAGCGACGTGGATTGCCGATCGATTCTAATTCACCAAGCTGTACGACAACCCCACCTGGTTTAATCAGATGACATCTAGTAAGGCCAGTACCAACACCACTGATGTAGATATTCGTATCAGCGAATAATCTAATCTGTTCCTCGAAGGTGTAATCCTTCCAACTTATGAAAGTTATATTACAACCGAAAAGATGTTCTGATTCATCAGCCAACGACTTTAGCATTGTCCTCTCACCATTTGAAAATCTTTTATTATCAGTAATAACTCCATTACATCGTTTATTAATATCATCATTATCTACCACAATAGGAGTATCCGGATCCAATGCTGTATCCCAATCCAATATACCATAAGCAGCTAATATCCTCTGACCATACCAATAGAAAGCATTCTCATATGAATAAGATCCTGGCATGCCCATATGTCTAAGCTGATGACGATGATTGAGCCATCTCGATCCAACTAATAGACGTGATATTCGAGTTATATTAGTATTGAGGACAACAGATGTAAGACCACTCTTACCACCATGACCAAAGACTCTCATCAGTTCCCAATGTGGGTAACCAGCAACATCAGCATCGGTGGAATCAGGTGATTCTAAGCCCAGTAAGTTAACTGAGTCTCTACCATAACCAAAACGTAATATCGTTACCCATATTGGATATATACTATCATACATAAAATGTCCGACATTCCAAGACCACATCAAAGAGAAATACGCAGACACACCCTCCAGAACGGATATCTCACTACCACTACTTATATCGTCCTCCCACAACTTCACATCTCTTTTGGTATCGACAAATATAATCTCAGGTTCAAATTTACGAAAAGTAATACCACGTTGGCAGCCACTAGTGAGGTCTCTAATACTACTTTTAGTAACGGGTATATAAGTATTCTCATGACGATAATCGTAGGTGATGATGCTCTTGTTCTTATAATAGAAGTGATCCAATGCCTTACCATTATAAGGTGCTATCATCACGTTACCTCTTGATGACAAATCGGATGGTAATATTATGTAAAACTTATCATCGGTTTTATGATAATAGATATTATCAAAAGCACATGACCGATTCCTATGCCAACCAACACATTGTATACTAGACCACATACCATCGTCAATGGGAGGGGATATATATTCAATATGGGATGGCCTACCACTCATACTATCTGTTAAGTTACCACCAGTGACGACCACTGGAGGATTACGAAGATTATCATCAGTAAATTGAGAAAATATCGGATATCCCAATATAGTTGTCATAAACGTAGTAGTAGCAGCCCCACTACTACAAGACCCATACACTTGAGTAAATACGCAAGTGCTAAAGACTAGTAAAATAGTTGCCATAAG